TTGTTGACTTTACACCGGACACTGAATGTAACTAACACTTCCAGTCCGATGCTGGCGGTACCGCTCGTCTTTCCAACGCCTTCTTTGTCTGCGGAGAGACCGATGATGCTTGCATCACCCTCAACGTACGTAGCTCTGTTAAGCTCCCTAGTATAACACCTTGCTCACCAGTCTTTCAGTCCCTCCCTGCCGGTAACGATGTCGAGATGGGTGGCGGACGCTACAGCTTCCAGTACATCCCCGAGCTCATCGCCAACGGCACTCTGCCCGAGGACGTCGTCGACACGGCCGTCTCCCGCGTTCTCCGCGCAAAGTTCAAGTCGGGCATCTTTGAACACCCGTACACCGGCGTCCCCGACGACGAGGTCTTCAACTACCTCAACACAGAGGAGCACCGCAAGATCGCCCGCGACCTCGACGCCGAGAGCATCATCCTGCTTGAGAACCACAACGAGACTCTGCCCCTGAAGAAGGACGCTCACGTCGCCGTCATCGGCCCCATGGCCCACGGATTGGTCAACGTAAGTTTTTATGCAGCTTTATACGATAAGACCTTTCCCATGCTAACAATATATCACACAGTACGGCGACTACGTCATCCACACCGCAATGGAACGCGGCGTCACCCCCCTCGACGGCATCAAGGCCGCCAGCTCCGGAACAGTAACCTACGCAAAGGGCGCCGAGCGCTGGTCCAACGACGAGTCCGGCTTCCCCGAGGCCGTCGCCGCTGCCTCGGCCGCCGACGTCGCCGTCGTCGTCGTGGGCACCTGGTCCCGCGACCAGGACGAGCTCTGGGCCGGCCTCAACGCCACCACCGGCGAGCACATTGACGTCCACGACTTCAAGCTCGTCGGCGCCATGGGTCGCCTCGTCAAGGCCGTCATCGACACGGGCAAGCCCACTGTCGTCGTCTTCAGCTCCGGAAAGCCTATTACCGAGCCCTGGATCTCGGACGAGGCTGGCGCGCTGGTGCAGATGTTCTACCAGGGAGAGGAGGGCGGTCACGCGCTGGCGGATATCCTGTACGGAAACGTGAACCCGTCTGGCAAGCTTTCCGTCGCGTTCCCGCATGATGTCGGTACCACGCCTGTGTACTACGATTATCTCAACTCCGCCCGGTCCTGGCCCAACCCGGGTAAGGAGTACGCCAACGGAACCTTGGTATTTGGCAGCAACTACGTCTTGTCGACTCCTCTGCCCTTGTACGAAGTAAGAACACATCCAACAGCTCCTTTTTTCCCCCCCTCTCCTTCTTGACAGTCTTTCTAACCCAAATCCAACCACAGTTCGGCTACGGTCTCTCCTACAGCACCTTCGACTACCACGACATCTCCGTCTCCGCCTCCACCGTCTCCCCCACCGACACCGTCACCCTTAGCGTGCAGGTGACCAACAACTCGACCCGCGACGGCGCAGAGGTCGTCCAGGTCTACGTCAAGGACATGATCTCCTCCATCGTCGTGCCCAACAAGGAGCTGCGCGGCTTCTCCAAGGTCTTCATCAAGGCCGGCGAGACCGCTGATGTCTCGATTGACCTGCCCGTCTCCTCGTGGGGTTTGTGGGATAAGAAGCTGCAGTACGTCGTTGAGCCGGGCGATTTCACCGTCTTTGTCGGGTCTTCGAGCGATGATTTCCGCGGGAATGCGACTGTGACGGTTGTCTAAGGGGCTTGTCTTTTGCAGTTCCCGAGGGCATTTTACGGTCAAGTTTTTCGACGGCAGTCGATGACCTAGGCCACCTTTGGCCGCTTTCTATGTACATATTGTGTAATGGATGAATGAAAAGATGACATATGGGGTTACTCAACGACAAGTTTGACGACCGACTAGCCTCCCACGTCGCCGAACAATAGTGAACTAGAGTACTCGCTCAGAAGACACTTAACAAAGCGCCAAACTATGTGACGAGTAGAGTTAATTCCAAGAAGAGCGTTACTGGTATTACTGTTTAATCCTAGGAACGGTCTGCCCAACTCTCTGCTTTCTAGTCTCGGCGATCCTCCCCGAAGCGTTTAGAAGTAAAATAACGGTAGAGCAGTCTCATCTCACCTGGGTTAGTTCTGTGTCATATTTGAAGGCAATAGCACAATAGGCTAAGGCTGTTGAACGAGCGCAAAGGATTTGTCTTCTTCAAAGTTGATGTCAAAGTTGATGTCTGAAAACTCAATGATCATGGTCTTGAAGTGTATTGCCCTCCTCTCTGCCACATCATCACATCTATTCAAAGTCGTTCAAACCTTCCATCTGCGAACTCACTCTACGCAACGCCAATCGAACTTTGCAGATTAGGTCTGCTTCTGTCCAGTATAGACATTGAATTTCAAAAGGGGAAACTCTGGCAAGACGGAGCAGAAAAGGTCCTAGAGCACAAGCCAACCTCCTTGGAGCTACTGAGCCAGATCACATCAACTGCTCGTTATCCCAGGGTAAGAAAAGCCGTGGCAGACACGTCACCGAACGGTTTGACTCTGAGCCTATATCAGCAGCTCCACTCTCTCAGAAGCACTCGTTCTCATCTCTAGCTTCGGGAGCGAATTTCGTCTCGACTTATCTGCTCTGCTATCTCGACGAGTGTGATGATAGTACCTCACCCAAATGAGGCACGCCACGAACTTCCGCACCTGCCGACGAAAGACGTGTGATCTTGAACACTTGTGTGTCTCTCAAATTACACTTTGCAAGACCTTCGGCAATCTTTTCTCATGGGCAGCACAACATCAAAAGCTATTTTAGAAAAAGGAAAAGGCATGTTTGCCGACTGGTTGCCTGTCTACCAGATTCGGAAGTCTCATCGCAAAAAACCTCCAGCCCCGCCTCTTCATCTGAAGATTTCTCGTCTGTCTTGTGTCTTTGCTAAGAAAAGAAGAAGACGAAGAAGGAAATACCGAAAGGCCCCTTCAGGCAAGTCTTGCCTGAAATTGCCACACACACACACACTCCACACTCGCACACTCTCGCACGCACACCTCGAAGAAAAAATGACGGAATGCAACATCCTCCCACAGGCAAACCTTTCTGTCCTCTACTTGCTTAACAACGTCCATGCGGCCTCTCGACCTCCCGGTTCGAGTTTCTGTTTCGTTTCTCACACACCCCCCTCCCCCCTTCCCTCTGGTAAGTAGCTGATGGTCGGTGCAGAACAAGAGGTAGCAGGCCTTCCATCTTCCCAGGTTTCTCGTCTTGTCAGATGCCCGTCAAATCAGCACATCATCACACCACACCATCACTGCCACACACCAACCCTCTGTAGCCTCCGATCTCCGTGTCACCAGCCCGAGTCTTCTGCCTGGACGGGGGATGGTTGGCCGGATCTCTGGCTCGAACACCGGATGAAAATCTTCCTTTCGGAGGGCCAGCCATATACCACAGTAACTGAGGTGCTATACCGTTGCATCCGGCACGACTTGGTCGTCGTAAGCCGCATGATATTTTATCTTTTGGTACTACCTGAAATGCAACCCCCTTTTTGCTCGAATTGTATTTGTCGTCAACTTTTGCTTCTTTGGAATAATTATCTTATATGTTTTGTATAGGTAATATGTCGTTACGAACGGTTTCCGTGCTCATCGGGCGATTATCATACACGTGCCAAGACTTTTCGTATTTGTAAAAGCAAGTGCCCACCATCCATCCACCCATCTCACCATCGTTTTCTGATACACACACCCTTCAGCCTGCCTGCCTCCCTTTTGCCTCGTGACGAGTTGCCCATCTTTTGTTTTCTCATTCTCTGGCGCGCTCGACTCGAAACCTTCCAACCTCGATCCTGGCACAAAGGGAAGCGGGGGCGGGGGGTGTCCTAGGTAGGAGGTCATAGTCATACCGCAGACAGCCCTCAAACCGCCCGAAGGAAACCGAATAACGGACGTAGGATAGATGCACGGTCTTGGTCAATCATCGGGATTTTCCCATTATTTCCGCCTTTTCCCCCTTATTCTCCATTTCTTCTCATAGACAGAAACGTTTTGCTCGCCCTATTTGACGTACTAGTCACATACTTCATGTGTGGGGGGAGAGAGTTCTGCACGATGCGTATTGTGGCCATGCTGAGAGACAGTTGAATCCTTGGCAAACTCCGGATTCCCGCTTCATCCTTCCAAACAAGCACCCAAAAGGCATCTCATAAGCTTTTCATCTTCCATGAGGTTAACCTCAGAATCGGGCACTCGTATAAGATTAGATCCTTTTTTAGCAAGGGAAAAAAAAAGTGACGCCTGCCAAGCAAAGCCAATCTCACGTTTTCCCCTCCTCTTTTGATCCTTTCTTACATAGCCCTCTGTAAAGTTAGGTATCCCCAGATCGTCGGAAAACCTTCCTAGACTTCTCATCACGAGATTACTGCACACATACCTTCTTTGCATAACGGCTCTCGGGACGTTTTCATTTTTTTGTTCTTCATAAAGGATCAAAAAGGTTCAAGCCGCGGTGCATTCGGCCGCCGGCGAGTGCCTGCAGTAAGTAGTCTGTGCCTCTGCAGGTAATGCAGGTATGCACCTAAGGCAAGCTACTGCTGTAAGGCAAGATCTGCAGAGATGCGGTATGCGCACCTCAAGGCAAGAAGCAAAGCGTGCATGAGAAGAGACAACAAGAAACAACGACTCAAAACTTCTAGAACCACAACCATCATCCGTCCATCGTCATCGTGGCTTTACCTTACCTAATAAGCGCTCGCTGCTTTCCTTGTGCGCCGCATACTTCCGCAGTGCAGCCTGCAGCAGCGCAGCGCAGCCAAACCTCAAACCCAACCAACGTTCCCCCCTTTCCCCCATTCATCCGTCCGCATGTAACCCAACTCTCCGTGCCCCCTTCCCCCCCTGGGCCTACACTACACCTCCTTCTTTTCGTCTGGAGTTTTGAGCCTCCCCTCCGCCGCCTCAGATGTCTGTCTGGGGTTCATATTAATAGCTTCACCAGTGACACCACCCCCCCTCTGAACCCCCGCTACCTCAGCCATCCTCGACAACCCTCCCATGTCCAACTCTAGGGTGCCTGCCTGCTTGCCTTGCCTTGCCTTGCAACATCATCCACAACAGCAGCAACCAACACCCAACAGCAGAAGAAGAATCATCATCAACGATCCCATGGAGTGTGAAGCATGCCCCTTGCAGTAGTCGCGCGGGAAGCCCGGCCCTGCATGCATGCATGCATCACCAACCCTCACCCTCACAGGAATGCACCACTGCACACAAACACGCCTTTCCGCTTTCCCTCTTCCCTTCCTCCCCCAGCCCTTGCCTTGCCTTTCAACAATGCAGTAATCCTCCGGCCCGTGTAATAACCTTATATAGAACATGGTTAAAACATAACACCCTAGGTCCCTCCCCCCTCTCTGACATCTTTGATATGCAGGGACAGGCGGCGGCAAGTCACGTCCACGGTCTAAAGACACAGAGAAACAAAATAGAAGAGAGACAGAGAAGCGTAAAACAACGTACCTACACGTAAAGCAAGAAAAGGAAAAAATGACCCAAAAAAAAGCAAGGCTGGTTTCGTTTCCAAGGTCGGCCGTGTCTAGCAGCCTGACATCCCACACCGCCCATGCAAACATGGTTGCATCACGGGTCATACCTGGCACACACTAAACTTCGGCAACCCTTTCTCAACGTCGCCTTTCGTCTCTTGGTCTCTTGGTACTTCTCTTGATCTTGCCCAGTCTTTTCTTTCTTTTCGTTTCCGCTATCTGCTTCTATTGTGAAGCTGCTTGGCATCTTGTCTTTTCTTTCCCGTTTCTCTCTCGCTCTCTATTTCTCGATTCCTCCTCCTCCTTATCGACACGCGCTGTTACCAGTACTACTTTATTTCAGACGCCAATAAGTCTGGGTGAGAAAGTCTAATCGAGCTCTTGTTCGGCTACTTAATCCCTTTCGTCTGTCTCTTCCGTCTTCATCTGTCTTCTCCAAGCCTGCAAAGGCCCAATATTTACACGGGCTGTAGATCGTCTCTCATGGTATGATCGGAGACGGGCTTCGATGGGTCCGTAAGCCATGGTGTGACTGCTTAGAAATATATGGCTGGAGGAAACGATCGAATTAGATAGGCACAGGGGACAGCGTTCGGACCGACAATGTCATAAAGACGTTGTGATATTTGATGCAGTCTAGTAATGTAAAGCCCGACCCTTTCGGGCAACCCTATCGTACAAGTGCCCTCCACGTCTTTTCTCATAAGACTCGTGATATGTTGTATGCCCATAATTTATCATTAGTTTAACACCTTTTTAATGCTCAATGTAGAGTTTCCCAGAAAAAGTAAAATCTCCCAAACAATATTGCCTGTTGCCAGTATGCACTTGCTGTGCCTTGCGTGTCAGACAAGTCTTGACAACGCACGCCACATCACTACTATTGTACAAAATCCCTGGCTACAAATGGTGCTGGGAATAGCGATAGCAAGAAAGAAACGAATGTGGTAGATTTTGTGAGAGTTGCTGTTGATAGGTAGTGAGAAACAGTCCGTCTCCTCACGACCCGTGAGACAAAATCCGGCGCAGCATTTGAAAGATAACGAGCGTTCATCTCTGCTATCAAAGTCCTGTCGAGTTCGGAGTTCATCGGCTGAAGTGAGCCTCGGTGTTCCGGCGAGCCGTGTAAACTGATTGCGTGACTGGTCCGGACTGGGTGTTTTGTGCCCTCGCGTGAGACTGATCGAGGGGTGTGGAGGAAGTTTGCTTCCTGGGGGTATCGGTAAGGACTTAGGCGAAGATACCGACAATTGACATGCCCGCAGCTAATAGTATGTCAGTGGTGTTTACATGCAAAAATGTTTCATGGATATTACTAACCTCCGGCGAGAACGTAGCAAAAGGCAGTAATCTTTTGCTTGTTGGAAAGAAGGCGGTTGGCCTCCTCTGAGAGGAAATCTTCGGCCAAAAGATCGACGAGAGCAGCGTAGAGCAGCAAGCCAGAGGATCTAAGTCACATTAGCCGAGGTTTGTTACGAACGGACTGAACAACTCACATGGCGTTGAATACACCGACGATGATGAGACCGAACGCACTGTCGGGATCGTAACTGCTGCGGGTGAGAAGTCCGATGGCCTGTCCGATGGGGGCTGTGGTGCCAAAAGCGACGACTAATACCCAGGGACGAATGCTGCCCTTGGGGTACGGCACAGCGGCAATACGGGAACCGAGACCAAGACCCTCAAACATTTGGTGGAACAGGATAGCGACGAGCAGAATGATGAAACCATCAATAGTGATGGAGATGGTCATGCCGACAAACACTGAGTGGAACAGGATACCACCTTCAAGCATGGTAATGTTGAGAGACATCTTGCGATACACAGCGGGGTCAACCTGTTGACCCTCGGCATCATAAAACGGATCTTCCTGCTTGACCTCCGTAACAGCAACCTGCGACGACGTCTGCTTCTCCTGGGTGGTTCGGATCATGTTCATCATCTCCATACGCTGGCGCACATACTGCTCGTAGAAAACGACGAACCAAGGCGGCATGTCAGAGTCGGACAAGTTGGTGTTGGCGGGTGGTGGCGCTCCATACACAGTCTCCGAGTAAGGCGCAGGGAAGCGTGACTTCTCGTCGTCGTACGCGCGCTGTGCGACTCGCTTCTCAAAGTCAATGCTGTCTGCCTCGGCATCGAAGCTGTTGCGGCCATAACGAGGAGGCCGGGCAGGCTGGACGGCTCCGTGACCGTGGTCGTGCATCACATCACCAGTAGGTCCTCCGTGGGAATGGCCGCCAATCTTGGCATTGATCCACATCTCGATACTGAACAGAATGAACATGGATCCCATCATGATGGCACCTGGAAGAGGTGGGTAGTCGTCGGTGAAGAGATCCGGGAGGCACGGGTTCATGAGATTGCCGAAGGCGGTGGGAAGCAGCTGTGCCGTGTTAGTTCTGTGCAACTAAATGAGCCAAAACAACCTACATGCACAAACGCCGTCGCGATGAGCACGCCTGTACCGAAATGCTTGCATGCGAAGAAGACCTTAGGAGGAACCTTCATCCACTTGACCTTCTTGGCCACAACTGGGAAGCCAGCGCCTGGAACGGTCTTATTAGTACGTTGACCCGCGAAAGGACTCGTTTCGTTTGTTCATATCGCATACCGAAGATGGAAAAGGCCAAGACCAAAACTGCGCCAAGTTAGCCAAATTGATAAGACACCAGTGGAAAGTGTTTTGGGGCCAACTTACAAAGACCAGCAACGTGAAGGCCAACATCATACTCAGCCGATTGACCACCCTTCTTAGCGCCACACTGGGGCTTGGGCTCTTTCATTCCGTCCATCTTGATTACAAAAAATCCGGTATTTGTCGCTCAAAAGAGGATTGCTGCTTGATTGGCAATCCTGAAATAAAAAATAAGGAGGGTTTGAGAAGGAAAAAGGCAGCCAAATAATCCGGGGCCGCCTACTGACAAGGACTCATTCGTAAAGCGAAGGCAACTGAGAACAAGGGGACATGAGAAGCTGTCCCGCAGCTTCAGTTAGAGAACAGACGAAAATGCTGATCTGGCCCCGGCTGTCGTAGGTTTGAGAGCAAGGAAAATAAAAAAGGAGTGGAAACGAAGAGAAAGGAAAAAACGGAAGGAAGAAACGGGCGATAAAAGCATAGAACGACAACAGACGCTCTGATGATGGGCGAAAGGGAAATCTTGGTCAAAGTCTGGGCTCGACTCGCTTTAATATGCTTCATATGACAGCCCGCGCAATGCAGCCCGTGTAGAAGCGGGTAGGGAAAGAATAAACGTTGACATGGGACAGCGGTCCCTGTGCCACCCAGCCGATTCAGAAATAGAAGACGTTGCCAAGGATGAGGCAGCTGAGGGTTGAGCCTTGGTGGGTTCGTGATGGGGGGACGTGGCCTTAGCGTCCGCCTCGCGGGAAGCGGGAAGCGGGAGGACCTGAACGGGAACAAGGTTCACCGTGGGCAACAACCGTGTGTATCCGTATGGGGGCGAGGACGACGGCGGGAGCGGAAAGGTAGGCTAAGTCGACCGCGGTTAAGTCGAGTCGAGCAACTTGGTGCGGTGCGGCGTGCCTGAGACCCAACTTGTGTCTAGCATCGATGATCCCGGCCGCTGACCGGATCCGATGTTGTTTGTTATAGCATGATTTGCCGGAGGGAGTCGAGACGGGAAGTCTGAGAGCCCGGCTCGACCTGACGGATAAGAAACAAGTTGTATGGGACCTGATGATGGGGTTGGATGGCGTGGATGCTACTCTGTCTCTGTAGGTGTAAGTAAGCGGTGGTGGCTGATCCAACCTTTCGTCTCGACTCGGCACAGCTTCACATCCGTCGCGCTTGGCAAATAGGACTGATAATGGTTGATGATGGGCAATATCCCAAACGAGACGACAGTCGATCTTCCATCGGGTCATTGCCAAGCGCGCGAAGGGGTCCATATGGACGTGGGGTGCGCGTCAAAATGGGGCGCCGGCATTTGTAAAATTTGGGTTGTGTGAAACGGGAGCCTCCCGGGGTCTGGCGCCAGGGTTGCCAGTCGGAAAATTCTTAACTCGATTTGACTCTTGGTGTCTAGGGAGGCTTCCCGGGAAGCCCGCGAAGAAGAAGCGCGGGGGAGGCTTGACTGGAGGCGCGGAGAGAGGGGAAACTTGGCGGGACAGGCACAAGCCGTCGAAAGCCAAGAGAGTAGCCAAGAGCACTGACACACTTGTCCCCTTTTCCCATGGCAGTGGATGGCATTCTGTCGTTGATTTTGGCTTGGCTGCGGTTGCTTGGCTGCGATTCTGCAGAGAAGGGTTAGCCAAGCTGTCTTTGGTGGTTTAGCAGGCTTGGTAGCACGGGGTTGATGGGTGACTGGTTGAGTGACTGAGTGACTGGAGGCTCCATCTGCCCTTGCTTGGTTCTGCTTCTAGGCGGCTTCTGCTTCTTCTCCGCTTCTTCTTGCCGGGGCTTTTCTGGGTCTACTCCTCGAGTGTCTCACGTGCAGAGTTTCCTATATCGGACAAACATCTGAGGGCAAGTTTTGCCTAACAACTCGCAGCCCACCGCGACAATCGCAGTCGGGGCTTAGTCGGAGGCTGATGTGTATACTCCATAGTTAGAACTGAGAGGTGAGAGAGAGGGCGTGACGAATGACTCTCTGGAATGGGCTCACAAGATGGGATGGGATGACATCCTGGCGCCGAGAAGTCGTCAACAGATCTGCACCATGAGTTTCCAGGCAGGGCTGGTAAAACTTGGGGGAGCCAAGCAGCCAAGGGACGTGATGGAAAAGAGGAGCCGTCGGTGTCTGAGATGGACAAGAAGAGACAAGAGATGAGGCCAGTTGAGAGACAGGAGACAGGGCCCGCGTGTTGTTGCTGTTGAAGGCGACGGTAAGAAAGCAAAGCTATAGTATCCGAGCGTGAATCGATAGTTGAGCCGGCACGAGTTGGTGATGTGAGAGAGTGGGTGAGTGGTCACCGGTCACCGAGGTGTATGTGTGTATGTGTGTGTGTGGTAGTGAAGTTGAAAGAGAGAAGTTGGAGACGAAGAAAAGCGGGGATGTTGGGTCTTGGAGTCGTTCATTCTTGCTCCGGATTGAAACAAACATGCAAGTTGTTCCGAGCGCTCAGCTCTCGCCTTCCAAACTCTGCCCGAGTCTTTCTGAAGTGGTGCCGAAGTATCGAAAGTCTCGCGAAGTCTCACCGTCTGTGGGAGGGCCAAGGGAGGCAGTCAGAGGAGAGGGCGAGAGCCAACAGTTGGCTTTGGATTACGCTACAGCTACTACTCACTGCTACTTTGCCCAAAACTCTGTAACAGCCCCAAACTCTTGGCAGAAGGACTCGTCGCTTCCTGTTGCGGTGCTCCCACGCGGCTCCTGGGTCTGCCGTCGTGCGTGAAACACGGTCCCTGGCCAATCGGCGCCGCATTCACTGTGCCCTGTGCCAGTGTCGTAGTCGTGTGCCTCGTGTACCAATGTACCTGTAAGTCGTAACTCGGACCTTTCTTTGATCATCCTGACATACTCCCATCCCGCAACCTGCTTCTGTTGGTCAGCTATGCATCGCTTTGAACGACATAATCATTGCTTCTGAACATCCTCGCAGGGTCACCTCTGTCATTCTTCCCTCCGAGACTCCAAGCTAGACTCCAAATGACCTTTGACTCTCTCGACTCCGCCTGCCGACTGCGTATGCCTCCCTCGCTTGCACTTGTAAGTCAAACCGGCACGAGTTGTCTCTGACAAGGAAGACACAAATAGCTGCCCCCTGATTCCCTGAACATCAACACCTCGTGCGCCATCATCACCACTCTACTGGCGGAACGGTGGAGTTGAAATGGCAAGAAACGAGCGGGAAAGCCTCCTGTACACGCACCACATCTCAAATCTTGCCGTCATTGTCCAGGGTGCTTTTTGTTTCCCCCTCTCAATCTCAACGTTCTAGCCCGTTCAACATGTGCGCATTGAAGGGGGCAGGGCCGCCGGGAAGCTTGCAAGAGCTTACTGATGATGATAATCAACGAAATAAGGGGCCGCTTCTGCAGCCCGGCTCCCTCCCCCCGGACTTTGCGGAGAGGCGGGCATGATATCAGGAACACTACTACGTATCCGTACAGGATGCCATCTACTCTCTTTTAATATACGACTACCAGTCTCAAAATCGACTTCACTATTGTACTATTCTTTCTACTTTCCCATCTCACCCAAGAACCAACCCAGCTCAATAGTTCCCAAAAATGCAAACTCCACGCGAGTCTCAGGACGGCGTCCAACCATCATCTAGTACGTGGGTTTCGGCTCTGTCTCTTTTTTTTTTTTTCCTGGCCACACCCCTTCCCACCCCTTCCCGCTATGCTCTCCTTCGCCTCACCTATCCTATCTTTCCACTTTGCTGGCTGGTTCATCACATCCTCGCAGAGATGTGCGACTGCTGCTCGCATCGGATTTCCCTGCCGCCGGTCTTGCTCTGTGACCACTGACCACCAACTACCGTGGTGGCCACTGCTTCACTTCATCCCACTCTTTCACACGTCGACCAGTCCCCGCTGACCATTGTGCTTCAGTCGCCTCAGCTCGAGGCAACTCTGTCGGTCATTCGGAAAGTAATTCGAAAGCTGAAGCGAACAAGGAACACAATGAACACCTAAAGGACAGCGCAGACATCATCTCACCGGTTCAGCCATCTGGCACGGACGACAAAGCTGTGACTGAAGGGCTCTTCTTGTCGACTTCGAACGACACAGCAGCCAACAAGAGCGACGTCGTCAGAACTTCCTCCAAGAGAGGCGGCGGCGGCGGCCTGTACTCCAACGTCGACGCCACGGACGCTTCTACCGTCGACACTTATCGGCCGGACCCCTACGACTTTGGTCGACACCGTCGTGACAATGTCTCCAAGAAGCAGATGAAGATTGAGCATCCCAAGGGCAACAAGAGGAAACTAAAGAAATTCTACAACCGACAGAATGAGCTCATTGACCAATTCCTCGGTGCCGAGGATGAAGAGAGACAGCAGGTTGCCGAAGACGCGCGAATGGGTCCCAAGATCAAGTTCGCCGTCAACGCCTCCTTCACAGTCAACTTTTGCCTATTCGTCATTCAGCTCTACGCCGCCGTCTCAACTGGGTCTCTGTCGGTAAGATAGGCAGCCAAGTCCCTGTGCTCACGGACTCCTATTGACTCGTGAATTCTCCAGCTTTTTGCCACTGCAGCCGACGCATTTGTTAGTTAATCATTTTCTGAGTTGCGGCATCATTAGAGGAGTTGAGTTGACTAAGAAACGCCCAGATGGATCTGGTCTCATCCTTTGTGATGCTCATCACCTCAAGGATGGCGGCGCGGCCGAGCGTTTACAAGTACCCGGTGGTGAGTTATCACCCTTGGCAATTGAATTCCAAAGCAGGGTCTGACAGACTGGGGATGGAATATTAGGGACGAACCAGGATTGAGACGATTGGCATCATCTTATTCTGCGCTCTCATGACAACCGTTGCCATTCAACTACTGGTAAGTTTTGTCGCCAAGTGACGTATGACTTGGTAGTTTGAGATGGCTGATCCGGGGCGCGCAACAGGTCGAGTCAGGCCGCTCACTTGGCGAGGGCAAGCGGGCCTCTGAACAACTGCACATTATCCCCATCGTTATCGTTGGCGTGGCCATCTTTGCCAAGGCCTCCTTGATGATCTACTGCTTCGCCTACCGGAAATTCCCTTCAGTGCATGTGTTTTTTGTATGTTGCTCAACCTTCCCCCTGGAGCGGCTTGCCTGTTCGGACGACGCCTTTTGCTAATAATAGCGTCCCGTAGATCGACCACCGCAATGACATTGTGGTCAACAGCTTCGGCCTGATCATGTCCGTCGTGGGAGACCGCTTCGTGTGGTACTTGGATCCCATTGGCGCCATCTGCATTGCGCTGCTCATCTTGTTCTCCTGGGTGTCCAACGCCTTTGAGCAGGTGTGGTTGCTCGTCGGCAAGTCGGCGCCGAGAGACTTTGTCTCGAAGCTGATTTACATGGCCATGACCCACGATACTCGGATTCTCAAAGTTGACACTGTAAGAATACCCCAAATTGAGAGAGCGAGAGAGACATATATGCGTGAGAAATGGTCCCTCTGACTCCACGAGCAGTGCCGCGCGTATCACGCAGGACAAAATTACTACGTGGAGATTGACATCGTCATGGATGAGACGACGCCCCTGAGAATCTCGCACGACGTTGCTCAGGAACTGCAGAGAAAGGTCGAAGGTAAAGTACTCTCTTTCCTTTAGCGATGAGATTTGATGGAAAGACAGAAGGAAGCTTGATTTTGCTGACTTTTTGGACGCTGCTAGGTTTGTCTGATGTCGAAAGAGCCTTCGTCCATGTCGACTACAGCGAGGCTCACGATCCTCATGAGGAGCACAAGCCGCTGTACGAGAGACTCTCAAAGAAGCCCCAGAAGAGGACGCTCAAGGACATCCTGTTGAGGACGAAGAAGGAGACGGCAGACGTTACGGAGACTGAAATCTCGAGCGGGCGAAACTCTGCATGACGGGGATGAGTAGGAGGGATAGACGATGGAGAGAAAAGGAAAATATAGGGAAAAGGCGTGAGCAATACTAAGGATATGAAGGAAAATATGCGGGAAATGTAGGGACAAGAGTAAACTTGGCGTTTTAGAGACGGCAGGAATTGTATGAAGATAATCAGCTTTCTTATCAATCTGCTTTCTCCCACGATGTCGTTGCAGCGAAGAGTGTTGCGTTGACTACCTAGTATCCTTGTTTCGACATGGGTAGAGGGGTCCCGCACACCTTGCGGGAACGGACGGGATGGGGAAGAACAGCGGGGAAACAGCATCTCTGAGCCACAAAAGATATCCAATAGACTTACTGGGCTGGCGGCTTTGGCGGGACATGAAACCGAGATGGGCACGGCAAACGATGTTTCCCGGAGAGGGAATAGAGACGACATAGGGTATCCGGGCATGCTAGGAAGTAAAAACGTAAGAGCAATGTAATGGCGCGACGGCGGCAACGAGGCAGCTTGCGAATCGCAACTGCGCAAGGGTTCACTGTTCATGCCTAGTGACTGTCATGTTGTCTGGAGGGCTTGCTTTGCTGCGACGGTGATGAGCGCTATTCCGATGTGGCTGTTAACTTGAGAGTGCCGAGAGCGAGGCAGTGTAAGTGATGGCTGTCACTTGTGCCACTTGGCGGTTTTGCTGACTGCACTTGGCGGTCTTGAGGGTTGGCATCGTGTCAGTGGCTTTTACAAGCTGGACCGAGCTTCTCTTTTATCTCGACTTTTTGGGGGGATCGCCAAGTGAAAGTTGGACGACAAGAGCTTGGCGGCTGAAGCAGCATGAGACGACACAGCCAAGCCCAGTTTTTGACAATGTCGTAGTCTTGCGACTTCTTGTACGTTGTCACCCGGGGTGTCGAAGGCTTGGCTACGCGCCTTGCTGTGCTTTCCCCCCCATCGACCCCGGTCTTGGCTTGGTGGAGGATAAGGGGGATGCCGAATCATGGATGGATCATGGGTTGCGGATGAGAATGGAAGGAAGAAAGAGGGAAAGCCTACGGAGAAGATCGGAGGGGACTGTCACTGTGACCGGAGGAGCGGCGGAACAGAAGGGGACGTGCGTGTTGACGTGTTTGCGTGGCTTTCTTGTCAGGAAGGGGTCTCTTTTCGTGTTCCATGTCCCGGTCTCGAGATCCACATCACCGACGACCCTCGGAATGCTGTTGTGTTGCTGCGTCTTCCGCGGGGTCTTCGGGCCCCGAGAGCGGTGAGACTCAATGATGGTGAGGCGTTACTGTTGCTTGCGGGGAATATTCCCGGACCGTTCTTCGACGCAAAGGCATAAGTCTTTATTATGCTGAGTAGCTGAGTGTGGGTTAGAGTGAACGCTCTTTATTGAGTCCATGGACGCGGAGATGTAAGGAAAGATTTGTACTTCAACAGGATCTGGGCGATATAAATGCGTCTCAGCAGCGGGCTGGAATCATCATGTACACGACGAAAAACCTAGACTAAAGAGTCATCGACTTGCTTTGCGTGGAACTGATTCGTAAGAAGGTACAAATGGCCATGAGACGCCTTATGGACCACAGGTCTCATTGAACCCGGGATGAGATCAAGATGGTGAAGAATAGGACGGTATTCTATGCCACTGTGCCATCAAAGCCCCTATGCGTCCCGGATCATATACCTGGCTGAGTTACGTAGAATCAAAATGAGAGAGATCTATCAGTTGATCTTCCATGGAAACTCGGCTCCTCATCCCTATCCTGTGGGAACCCATGAAATTGATGCTTCATTCAAAGGCGCAGAAGCCCAAACATTGGGAAGATGGATTTGACCAAGTATTGAAATCTGTAGTCAGTGAATTGTCTGAAAACCTTCCCCCAAGGACTAGAGATCCGAGGTAGATACAAACTTCTCAGGCATGTCAGAACGGTCGCCGGAACGAGGCGGTCGACGTTCCCATTTCGGTTCGCCCGTAGTCTCTCATTAAGATAGGTCTATCTAGGTAATCGCACAAGTTAGCCAAAGCCGCTGCCTTGCCTCTCCTGTATGATGCTCCTTCTGGTGTGTTTGAACTTCTCGCAACAAAGTATGCAGGAAGGAGAGAGCGAAGCGGATTACCGCATCCCGCCGATGCTTACCACGAGGCAGACTCTGTCTAAAGGAAGGTCCTGGGATTGCGTTTACAGACTATTGACAGCTGCTTCTCATATTGCCTTCGGGTACTCAGGAAACCATTTTCTACTCTGACTGGCATTTTGCCACGGTTGAGTCACTCGCCTCTTCACCCTTGGCTTCTCCCAACATGATTTTTGAATCATCATCATCACGATATGAATTGGCGCGCAAAGGCATTATCAAATACCCGCAAAACTCTATCATCGAGACGAAGGCCACGACTCTTGCCGTCTGCTTCTATTCCTGTTAAGATGCCCGACGACAACTGTTGATACTTGGTACCTCAACCCACCCACGAAGACCTGCGTTCCGACAAAATCTACAGAAGTTGTACTGGAAGCCTGAGCAAGGGGTGCCTCGGTTTCCCTGGATACTTTCGCATCATATGCCTCTGGGGTGGAGAAGAAGTCTTCATTCGAGAAGAAGCGGCCCAAGGTCAAATGTTCAAGACCTGACGCGAGAATAACCCGGTCGCCGTCTTCAACTTGCGCCAACGGGCCTCCAAAGCTGGCTACTGGGATCCCATCAGAAATGATCTTGGACATACCATCTTCCATTAAGGGCAATTCTTCCAGCGTGTCGACTTCAACAAGGCCTACGAGGTCTTTGCACGCAATCCTCAGCCTGAGCACGCCAAATCGCGGACTTTGTTTTGTTTAGGGGACCCGGCTGTGCCTGCAGAACTGTGGACGGCACACGTGGTCGGACTGGGAGAGGGACTTGATTCAGAGACTGTCGATTCAGCAGTCGACGACCAGCCCTCTGGTTTTGACCTGGACGCTTAGAAAACCTGCCAAACCACCATCGACGAGAATAATGCCACCGATGCTGTTCAACTTTTCGACGATATCTACAACAATATTTCCAGGTACTCTAGAAGGATCACTGACGGTAACCAAGCCCTACCCGCTGTTTGTCAAGCTTTCCGCCTCTTTTCGGACGCCGTTAAAGCCTTGAGGTCAAGTTTGAGCCCTCAAGGACGAGACGATGCCTTCAGTGGTCCACTGATACTGCCCGCACCGAATTTCGAAAACGAATCCGTCGGTCGCCTTTCCGTTAAAGCTTTGAATTTCGGGAGAGCAGCAATTATAGCGCAACCTGCAGTATTGCACTTGATCGCCAGGTTCATTGATGTCTACTTCCTCAGGGGCGACGTCACTGACCGCTACCGTGGTAGTTTGTTCATCTGCTTTCTTCGTTTAGAACATATTCCATGTTATAACACGACCATCTCGACCAACGGCGACTCCTCTCGCCGTCCTGAAGTTTGTCTTCCGCCTGAGAGTGGGGCTTACGGAATCGAGGAAATGAACAAGCGCGACAGTCAAAAGGACATCGACCGCCTTTTGGCCTTCTTCGAATGGGTTGAACGCTAGGTCCTCCATCGGATAGCATCGAAGATAGTACAAGAGGCTATCATCAAAGGACTCATCTTGGTGCGAAGGGTGAAGGTAGTGATGGCGACCGCAACTAGCTGATGCTGGGGCAAATGTAATTTCGCCCCTTTTTTTACTAGTTATGTGTTTAAATTATTCCAGAGAAACTTTAGACCTAAGAATGAGAAGCGGTTTTAGAAGTCAGGAGTTCTTCCAAACCCAAATGCGTGCATTCTGTCGGTAATTAGAACACTCAATCGCCCAGTCCAATCCGTGCCTTCAACTTGTCCACGCTTCTAGTCAACAGAGAAGTGATGCCAAGGCCGATTCTGTTGAGCTAGAAGTTGAAAGATGTAAGGTAATTACAGCAGGAAAGTTTGATTTTCCATGGCAATGTTGTTGCTGTCTGGCGAGGACCGTAGTACGGCTCCCCTCCGTCTCATCTCTGTCAATAAGGGAATCTACGCAACTCTTATGAGGAGTGATCCATTTCTAGAACCTCAGCAAGAAAATGCCCGCGTGTTTGAGGGGTTTATGAGCTGTAGAGGCCCCGACTAGACCTCGATCGGTCTACTCTTATCTTGTTTTTTCTCTTCTCTTCTTTAGCTTGGTAGCTACCATGTGTAAAATATCCGGACGATACTCCCGTATTTACGGAGAGAAGAGTATCCAGCCTGATGGTTCTGGTTAAGATGATCAATCCGCATCCGTTTTGTTGCGTTCATTAGCAGAGGAAGAGAGGTGGTTATTCTACAGAAAACACGCAAAAAAAAAGGCAAAATTTCAACACTCGAACTGACGAAGTTCGCGTGTCAATGAAAGCACCTTGATAGTATTTCTACCGGTTGTATACTGCTCGGCTACTACGTTTAGAAACTTTTCGGTGGTCTTCATATACATACCAAGCAAGCTGCTATCGTGCCTCGAGTATTCTCTCGAGTATCTTGATGTGTTTCCAACTTCATAATTCTGCAAAAAATGCAAAAGTTCAACACTAGAACTGGCGAGGTTCGAGTGTCTATGAAAGCGCTCGTTGGCATCTATTTCTACCAGTTGTATACCGCTCGGCTACTGCGGGTGGTGACTTTTCTGATGGTCTTCGTACATATACCTGGCAAGCTTTCGTCGTGGATCCTTTATTCCCACGGATTTTGAACGTGTTCACAGCCTCCGGGGGAACGTCATCATTTGCATGATTTATCAATACTTCAGTCAAGCTGAATCATGGGGTATCATTTCTATTCCATTCTAACTCAGCCATTTCTCGGCCTTATTGGGTATCAATCTTCTAAGCACATCAATCTGGCGCGCCTGCGCCTTATGTCTCAAGTCTGCGACTCCTCGCCTATCCGTCCGTCTCTGCCCATTCGAGTAGACCACTGTGAAATCCGGGACCTTTTCGCCAGGCTTGATGATCGTCAAAGGCGAGATTGTGCAGTTCTGCAGCAGTTAGTTGGCCATCCCAGCTGGTCTGATGGAAAGATGGCACCAACCTTGCCAATGACAGCGCCATGTCCGATCCGAGATCGGACCCCAACTACCGTATCTGTTCCAATATCTGTGCCTCCGGATTCAATGGTGGCGCCAACCTCTACCGTCACGTAGTCTCCGAGCGAGATGCCTCCGCTGGCGTCGTCGTTACCAACTTTGCCGATATGAGCCCGCTCGTGGATGATGCACCTCCGACCGATGAGAATGCTGCCGTTCGTGGTCTCCAGCTTCGATCGTGGGTGCAATACGCTTTCCGACTGAATCGTGATTGAGTGTGTTCCGACGAGAATGGCGCTGTCGGCCACGGTAAAAGATGACGAGAAGCTAACGGGAGGTCGTGGGCCTTGATTGGAGACGGCGGGCAGCATAGAATGCCGCTTGTTAGACGACATTGTGGTACGTGTCCTGGATTGCTCCGACCCAATGCAAATCCTAGCCGAATGATGTAAGGTGCATTATCGGTGACGCCTGTAACGATTCCAGGCTCGAATAGGAGACCGAGATGCGGCGCGCAACGGTGTTAGTGATGGGGTAGCTCGCCGTGGGGTAGTAGAGTCCGACGTCGATTCTCTGGAGCTGCCCCAGCGCATAACCCCGGTTAATGCATCCGCGCTCCCACGTGACCGTCTCGCTGACTAAATGACCCGCATTGGCCAATCAACGCCAGTTGGAAATAAGCATCATCGATTTGGTGCAATTGAGCTGTGTTCCACGACGACGAATTCCTCCGATCGACAACCTCCATCCACCACCAAATACCCCCCAAAAGCCCACGATGGCCACTCCACGGCGGTTGCCCGCGCAGGCCGCTCAGGCCGCGCGAAACTTTGCGACAGTACGAACCTACGGCGGACTCAAGGATCAGGACCGTATTTTCCAGAATCTTTACGGCCGGTTGCCCCCGACGCTGGCTTCCGCGAAGAAGTTGGGCGATTGGCACAAGACGAAGGAGATCATTCTCAAGGGACACGACTGGATCATCAGCGAGGTCAAGGCCTCTGGTCTCCGTGGACGTGGAGGTGCCGGTTTCCCTTCAGGATTGAAATGGGTAGGTTGCCACCTTGCGATTTTGCTGGACTATTGCCGCGGCAATCAAGGGAAGGGGCGGAACAACGGGCTAACGCAACGGCAATCGCGCAGTCATTCATGAACTTCAAGGACTGGGACAAGGACGACAAGCCGAGATATTTGGTCGTCAACGCCGATGAGGGTGAGCCCGGAACCTGCAAGGACCGCGAGATTATGCGAAAGGATCCCCACAAGCTTATCGAGGGCTGCCTCGTCGCCGGCAGAGCGATGAACGCCACCGCCGCCTACATTTACATCCGCGGCGAGTTCGTTCACGAAGCTGCCGTTCTCCAGAACGCCATCAACGAGGCATACAAGGATGGATTGATTGGCAAGAACGCCTGCAACTCCGGATACGACTTCGATGTCTTCATTCACCGTGGTGCCGGTGCCTACGTCTGCGGTGAGGAGACCTCCCTCATCGAGTCCCTCGAGGGCAAGCCCGGAAAGCCCCGTCTCAAACCCCCTTTCCCCGCTGCTGTCGGTCTTTTCGGATGCCCTTCCACCGTCGCCAACGTCGAGACTATCGCTGTCGCCCCCACCATCTGCAGACGCGGTGGCAACTGGTTCGCCGGCTTTGGCCGTGAGCGTAACCAGGGCACCAAGCTCTTCTGCATTTCCGGTCACGTCAACAACCCCGTCACCGTCGAGGAGGAGATGTCGATACCCCTGCGCGAGCTTATCGACAAGCACTGCGGCGGTGTCCGTGGTGGCTGGGACAACCTTTTGGCCGTCATTCCCGGTGGCTCTTCCACCCCTATTCTTCCCAAGAGCATCTGCGACAACCAGCTTATGGACTTTGACGGTCTCAAGGACAGCCAGTCCGGTCTCGGTACTGCCGCTGTCATTGTCATGGACAAGAGCACCGACGTTGTCCGCGCCATTAGCCGTCTCTCCCACTTCTACGCCCACGAGTCCTGCGGTCAATGCACGCCCTGCAGAGAGGGTAGCAAGTGGACCGACCAGATCATGAAGCGTTTCGAGAAGGGCCAGGGCCGGCCACGCGAGATCGACATGCTTCAGGAGCTCACCAAGCAAGTTGAGGGTCACACTATTTGCGGTATGTATCTTCGTTCATGACGTCAATGATTTTCATTGCTAATAACTCTTATCTAGCTCTTGGTGAGGCTTTCGCCTGGCCCCTTCAGGGTCTTATTAGACATTTCCGCCCCGAGCTTGAGAAGAGAATGGAGGAGTATGCCGCGCTGAACGGCGGTGCTAACGCTCTGGGTGGTGGTTGGGAGCCGACTGCCCGGGCTCAGGGCAAGCTGGTTTCACCGGGACAGTAAAAGGCTGAAATTTTTTGCATGCTTGTAGACCGGCGCCCGAGGGCTTGTATATATTAGTAGTACATTAGCAGAGCCCTAAATGCGCTGGAGTTCATTTGTTCACGACTATTCAACTTGTACACACTGTTCCCCATGCTATTGCGATGATCTTAGTTGGAGAAATGAGATGTCGGCAGGGAACCTTAACAATCAATCGACAAACTGAACCGGACCCATGGGTAGTTGAATCATGTATGAGAGTCTATGAATCATACACGTCAATTCTTCAAGTCACTCTATCGGCGTTAAGCCTCTAGAAATCTGTCCAATAAGGCCACTGTATTTCTCATCTCTTTATGCAAAGCCGCAAGCATGCCAGGGATCTTCTACTCGGCCCACACATCCGGACAGCTCGGGACTCGGCTGGCTGCACCACCGGCCAAAGAGACTCCTCCGAAGAACGGCGGGCGGGGGTTTCTGTAAACTACCGTCTCCGATTTCTTTGACCACCCCCCGTCTACCCACGACAACTCCCTCGGCCGGTTGGAGATTGTGCTCCGTCTATTCCTCGAGTATTCTTACTGGGATTGTTTAGTACAACACACTTGGGTTTTGTTGTGTTTTCTTGTTTACCTGTCCTTTAGCGGAGAAAGTTTCGCCGAGATGACTTCTTTCACTTTTGACCAGTTTGTCGCCTTTGCGTCTGACAGTGGTGAGTACTATTCTTGATTGAGCACTCTCATACACTGCATACTTGAATCGTTGGATTCGGCCTATGTTCTTGCCTCAATTTCGCGTCAATCACTATCTGAGATAACGATGCCTCTCACTCGTGCCCTCCACCCTGCTCACCGCTCACCCTCACGATCATGCTCATGAAAAGCTGACACCCAAAACTCAAGCCGGTCTTGAACGCATCCTCCGTGGCCTCCAAGCCCTCACCGCAATCTTCTCAGCATACCCATCCCTCGTGGCCCTCGCCCTGCTAGACGCAGACCCACCATTCCTCGAAGCTCTCGGCCCGCTACGAGGCCACCTCAACCTCACGCGCCGCTTCATCCGCTTCTTCTGGTTCCTCAACTCGTTTGGCACGTCGTACAATCTTTTCACCTCCATCTCCTCGTCACCATCTTCACCAGCCAAGAAGAGCCAGGGCGTGGGTCTGGAGACCTGGCTCGACATCATCAAGTTCACCCTTCTCGGCCTCTACGGTGGCCTCGAGTCCCTCACCCTCCCGGACCTCCTCGGCGTCCCGCAGATCGCCTACTTTGGCGCCGAGCGCACGCGGGCGCTGAATGTCGAGGCGCAGCGGTTTTGGCTTCTTGCGTTGGCGGCGGGTGTCTTTGCGAATTTGACGAGGGTGCTCAAGGCTTTTGCGTACGCGCCAGTGCCGCAGCATGGGTATGGGTACGGCACGGGGGAAAAGCCGGGTGAGAAGAAGGCTACCATTGAGGGAGGTGCTGAGAAGGAAACTGCTGCTGCTGCTGCTGCTGTCCCTGACGAAAAGAGAGGCGATGAGGGAGGAGAGGACGAGAAGCTTGATTGGGAGGCTGAACGTACTCGTCTCCGGGCTATTGTCATGAAGAGACGGGAGGATAGGAAGCGGTGGCGGAGGGAGGTCGCGGTCAAGGTCAAGAGCCTTGGGCGCAAGATCTTTTCCGACTCGTTGGATTGCCTTATTCCGGGCGTGATTCTGGGCTGGGTCAACGTTCAGCCGGGAACTGTTGGGATTGCCATGTTCATCACTACCATCTTGAGCAGTAGAGATATTTGGGATAGATGCGGTGCGACTGTTAGTCAGAGAAGGAGCTCCTAATGGGGACTTGAAATGGGATACGATGATTGAAGTGTTCCCATTCTAGAGGCTCTGCGTTTATATTTATATAGATTTAGAGACGGACATGGATTACGTCCTGCATGATGCCAAACCAGATTTCAAAGCACACTCGTCATACAAACTCCAGGCCAGTCTTCGTCCATAGTGCCATCATGTCTATCGTATCCTTCTCCTTTGCACTCCACCGAAGGTCGTGGAAAATCACCAAGTGGGTGGGCTTCTCGTTCTCAATTTGGGTTAATTTTCTCCAAGGGAGTAAACGGCTTACTCGGCAGAGACAGACATGGGGGCATGTCTCTGCTCCGGAGCCTGGGGAAGGCGGATTCGGTACTTGTGCGAGCCGAGATCGTCTTCGTCGTCCTCGTCCCATAGGACCTGGACCTTGGCACGCCTCAAGATGGAGAACTGCTGGGCGATTGCAATGACAGCCTCAAGCACACTGTGATTTTCTTGTTAGCGGCGAATCCAGAGAAACAGGCCTGGCAAACATTGGAAGACAAACTTACCCAACAATGATGGCAACGACCGCAATGCCAACGTGGTCCTCGTAGTGCCAGCAGTACGGTTCACCTGCAGCAATGACACCAGACGTGAAAGAAACAGCCGCAAACGTGATATCGAGAGCAGTATACAGCCAGCCCAAAGCCCTCCTCTTCTTCTTATCATCACCGTCGAACCACCTACGCATCCCACCGTGGCTCTCCTCGTCGTCATCACCACCGCCATCACCGCGACGTCCACGGCGGCCAAAGATACACTTGACGCATCCGAGGTCGACGATGACTGGCTTATTCCGGTCACTCCGCTTGTGCCCGCCCTGCGCCAAGAGCGCGAACGTGAGCCATAGCAGCTGCAGGGTAGCCAGGAAGATGAAGACCTTGGAGAGGCTCTCGTACCGCCTCCGGCCGTCCCACTCGAGGATGACGAGGGTGAGGCTGAGGGCGACGGCGATGAAGCGCAGGAGAGCGACGGAGTTGATGATGAATTTGAGGAATACCAGGGGTGAATACGTGCCCGAGCCGCCGCCGTTGTGGGATGAGGCGGATGAGTGGTGGGACGTAGGGGTCAGTGGGCGGAAGACGACGTTGGGGTTCAACGGTCTGTTTTCCGGAGGGGAGGAGGCCATTGTTTTGAGGGACCCTAGGAACTTGGTGGAGGGGAGGTCGTATACTATATCGTGGGGTGGGTAGTGGTATGTGTTGTCTGTGTAGGACAGTGCTTGCTTATCCGAGTAGACAGGCATCGAGAGGTTTCATCCGACGGTGGGTGGTGAGGGAGAGGCTGTTATATACGAGACTGAGTCGTGCCCCATCTCACGAATGGAAAGAGGCAGCAGGTAAGCAATGCGGTGTTTGTGTGTGTTTGTGTGTGTGTGTGTGTAGTGAAAAGTGAGAGAGATACTTTGGGTTCAGTATTGGACCCAAGGGAAGAGGAGACCAGAATCAGAACCAGAGCATGCAGACAGACCCATATCCGAGAGAGATAGTAGGAAGGACACCCGTCGACGTGAGTACGCCTTGGAATCTCACGCGCACCCAGCTTGGCTCCCATCCCTTGAGCCAACAGACACTCCCCCTTCTGCACTCTTCACCAATGGCAACAAAGGGTCCCGAGAGCCGTGGAGGCACGCCCCGGCTTCGCCATGCGGGATCTCCAAGTCGTTCATCCACTGACGTTGTCCGGAATTCGGGTGCCTGGAGGTCCACTTTGACCTAGTGACACACCAACGTCAAACCACCCCGCCTCACGAGGGGAAGCTTATAATTGGCCGGCCGGACGAACTGGGTGTAAAGAAACGCCCAGCGGCGGTGCGATTCGGATTTTTTCTTTGGAGAAGGATTGACATGTATCGGTTGTTTTGGTGTCGTTGGGGTCTGGTTTAGGCTTTGATGTGGTTACGGTTACGGTGGTGATCGTCGCGGATCTTACCAAAGTCCCGTCTTCGGGGGTGCTGGACACGCTGAGGTACGCGTAGGCTAGTGGCTTGCTGGAGGAACGTCGAAAGGGATTGTATTAGCCTCATTCAAGTCTCATCAGACCATGGGTTCGTATTCATGGAAATATTTTGGAATATACTGCTGTGGTACCGGTCGATTCGCAGTCGTCTTCGCATTACCTCACAACTGCTTGAAGTCGAACATCGACATGTCAAGAAGCACCTCATGATCAAACATTCTTCTACTAGGTAGTTGAGCTGTACACTGTCTACATGCACCAAGTAGGTAGTCCCAGCATGGATGTAACAAGAATTCTATCCTGTCAATGTCAAAATTTCCAAAGGGATATCGTCTTCGCCCAGAATTCGTCCAACAATATTCGCTCTCTCGAACGCCCGATTGACAATGCTAACCAAGATATGCTGTCAGTCAAGCCGAAGCTCCACCATTCAGACTTTGAACACAGCAGTACCGGGCGACGGCTATGCAGGTTTCAGGACAGTTGCTTAATGCTGGTGCCTGCTCGGAAGCATCCGAGGCTCTCGAAGCCGGGCCCAGACTTGCCAAGTTGACGCAAGCAAGCGCCATTCCTTCCAACAACCACCACCTCGTCTGTCAGTCTAGCTGAATCAACGACGACCCGTCACACGATAGCTCCCAGTTTCGATCGATACTTTCCATCCGTCGTTGACGAGGGCGGCAATAACGCCCTGTCTTAGTCGCGACACACCTCCGGCACTATGGAGGCCACGGCCTGTAACGATTGTGAAGCCTTCGGCCGCCTTCCTTGCTCGGTACTCGCCGAGGCCATTCCACCAGTCCCAAACGCGCTCACGAGCGATTCGGACGCCGTCCGCAACTTCAACGCCGTGGAGATCGATCGACTTTCCTGAACTAGTGCTGGAAACGTGTATATCGGCCGCGACGCTCTTTGCCTTGGCGAAACTGCGCGCCTCCTCGCGTCCACGATCTGCATAGTATCCTGCTGCCTGCCTATACAAATGTCCCTTTTTGTACACTTGGCCGGCAGTCGTATAAGAGTGACTGCTGGCCTCGCGGTACATGCCAGCTGTGTCCATGGCCTGCTGATAAGTGCGGGGTCCCGACGAGGGGCTGTTCAGGAGAACCGGGCTGTTAAGGGGCCGCCCAATGGGCAACATGAGTGACGTTTTTGGCGAGGCAACCTTTTGCCAGCCATCGGACGAGCCCTCCAGCTCTTCCGTCGTCAAAGGCGCTAGCTTGTAGTTGATGTCCAGGCGTTTGGCGGGCAACTTGCCATAGTAACGATTCAGCAACGTAGCAACCTCCTCTGTCCACTGATGGTCGCTACGTGCGACTTCGTTGAGGGGAGATAAGTACTGTTCGGGAATGTGTCGGAATTGCTTCTTGAGTTCCTGAATGTACTGCTTCCGGTGCTCGTCTTCGCCAGTCCAGGCACCGACACCTTGCTTAACAAAACGATCGAGGAACTCTATGATGGTGAGTTCTGTTGAGCCTTTCCGGGCATCAAAGACGTCCGACACTTCATCGAACGGCAGATCGAGCTTCTCCACGATGAACAGGATCTTCTCAACCCCTGAGCAATGTCAGTTGATGCTTTCTGTAGCCATTCCGCTTTACTCACGTTCATTTTCATCAATGACAGGCGAAGTTTCATTGATGCTACTTGAGCTGGACGACAGGTCCGTACGAAGATCTTTTCGTTTCTTCCCCTTGGCTTTCTTTTTCCCGGACGCCTTTTGGGACAGCCCCGAATCCGCGAAGCCATCGATGCCCTTTGGCCTCTCGCCGATGGACTCAAGATACTGAATGTTCAACAAGGTCTCCAGGGCGGCTTGGAAGTCGCCCTTGGCTTTCTTGAGCGCGAAGCTCACATCATGCGGCTTCAGGTCTGAGAACATATCCTGCAGCTGCAAGAGTTTCTCTTGATCCGAGTCGCCGTCAAAGGTTGCTATACGGGGGACGTCATAATCCGGTTCAGATGGAGGCGGGCTCGTCAGCCTGGTTCCAGAGGAATCCGAGTCCCTCGGCTGAAGCCCCTCCGAGACCGTGGAGCTGTCTCGCGCATCGACTCCCCCATCACCGGAGCTGATGGTGTCCGGGACACCGCTGGCATTGAATCCGCTCGCTTCTTCGACCAGCACATTCTGGGCTATGCTCTGCAGCATCCCGCGAACGTCGGTGAGCTGGCTCGCATCGTCAAGATCTATTTCGCTCGCGATTGCGATAACGACAGTAGGATCTAGTAGGGGAAATTCCGCCTACACGAACGTCATCAGTATACACCTTGGCTTCAACCCCTCAAATGGCTTCTGCTCGTGACGCGTTTCCATGCCGCCTCTTCTTCTCTCAAAAAATGGTGATGTTCTCATGAAATATCAAGGGAAAATGCAGAAGTGCCATCGGATAAAGAGTCACTCACCACTAAGTCATCTAGGGTTGGTGTAGCCATTGATCAAGTTGAAACCTTCAGGGTTCGAGATATCGTTGTGAAATAGTCCAAAGCTCACTAGTCATGCTGGAAGGGAAAGCTGCAAAAAGGTATTTTGCTACCAAGTCTCTGGTCGCAAGAACAACCAGAAGGCCAAGCCGATCAAGTGAATCAGACAAGCAACAGTAGTTGCAAGCAAGAACCGAAATTAGTTGCGTAACGACAGTCGAATGCGCGGGTAGCCGCGTAGCAAACAAACGAGCAGACGACACAATGGTGGTGATGACGCAGGCGGGGCTCTTTTTGGTGGTGGTAGTGGATGTTGGTTTCTGTAAAGGAAAATCTTTGGCGCTAGGGTGCTCAAATGCTAACGAGTGCTCGATGAATCATGTGGCCGCCAGTCTAAAGCGCGCATGTCCTAGTCCAAGTCTTGTCAAAAAGCAAATCAATGACTCTGATCATGTCTGTCATCCGGGCTAGGATCGACCGCGCCTCACGTTGAAAAGACGTTGCTTGTCTACTCCGATCGGGATGTGGCTTTGCGGCTGAGGTCATCAGAGACACGTGCACAGCGGAAGAAGATGTGGCTGACTCGTGGCTGAGGAAAGCGG